CCCTCATTCCGTCCGTCGCAGGTGAGATAGTCGGAATTATCGGGCTAAAATCCGATGGGTGCCGGGTTATACGGTTTTATTTCTAATGTTTTAAAGACATTTCTAGACAAAATTCAGATCTGTCTTTGAGTGAGCATATGAAATGGACAATTTACTATCGATAGGGCCAATAAAAAGTTTTTTGATATTTTGTGGGTTAGACGGTTTTATCACCAGGCCGACGATATATACAATGGAATCCTGCTATAACGAGAGGGAGGGGACCGGAGCAAAATGTCAGTTATAGCAGGATTCTCGCTATAAGGGATCCAGTAATAAATTCAAGGGAAACTGTAAAGTAGGCCTAATCTATGAGTTTGGTGTTCTGTTTATTTCCTTTTGCTATCTCCCCTGATGATAGTTTTGTTTCAACATGACCTCTAGGTCTTACATTACTTGATCAAAAATCGAATCAGGTTTCTTTCTCTAGCGCTAGATCTAGCGATGTTGACAGCTTGGCGTTGCATTCAGAAAGAAAGGACTCTGGGCTAATTCGCCCGCTGCGATGTTCCCCACCCCATCACACCCTGTGGTGCATTCCGTCAGCTTGCGCACGTCACTCATTTGCTTCATCCATTACATTTCTGTGACCTCTCCCCCGCATCGGAGAAGTGAGAGGCATGGTAGTCCTAGATAATCTAGACTACGCCTAGGCTGGCCTATCACGCGATGCGTTCTGCTTGTCTGCGCATGCCACACCCTCCCTACTCAATCGCTCCGGCCTTCATTGTTGACACACATGGGCTCTCCCATTCTTTGTTTCGCTAGATCACCAACAAGTTTCTCAACTGGCAAGGTTTTGCTTTAGGTATAATTGGCCTATGTACTGTACACAGTAGCAGCAATATTCCCCTTTAACCGACTCTCATGTTTGTCTGATAGCACTATAGCGGTATTTTATTTACAAAGGTAAAGAAGAGAAAAAAACGGGGTTTTAGAGTAGTGTCTTTATCACAGACTTCTCATTTTTTCCGGACTCGTTATAAGTGGATTCCACTGTATTGATCTTGTCTTACTAAAAAAACAAAGTGTCACCTAGACTAAGGAAACTGCCATTTATGTCTGATTAAAACACAAGCAAATGGAAATAAACATGGACAATCTAATGAAGCAAACAGAGGAGGGGAGGGTAAAATGACGATGAGACCACAAAGCAGGAGAATTTTTTTTTTCCATGACATTTCTTTTACAGCACAAATCTTGATGTGACAACATACAACTATCACTGGAAGTGCTCAAACAGTAGTGAGTGGGTTACGTCTTTTAGTTTAGTGCATGTACATTTATTATTTTCACTGATAAAAATTAGACCAAAGTCTATCTATACATTGTATCCACCAATGCCAGCAACACAGAAAATATGCTAAAAAGCAAAAAATGACTCGATCAACTGTCAGCACTCAATACACTAAATTGTTCACTATAACCTCTGAATTAAAATTTTGTATTTGTCGTGCACAACAATACTGCATCAAGAAGTAAAAACAGAGAACATTTATAAAATATGAAAGAAAATTGCAGAACTTAATTTTACCTTCCTAACAACAGTCAGACACATACAGTGTGTAACACAGAAGCATGGTAAAAGACACACATGCAATCTAATGGAGCTCCAACAGCATGGACATACAACAGCGTTCGGACACAGCACAAGAATCTTCAGGGACAATGCAATAGTACACACATATATAATATATATATCGTTTAGTATCAAAATAGTGTTTATTAAATCATTTTCAAAATGTGGAAATTTTTCCTTTACTTCACAGAAATGATGGAATGTTTATAACTGTAATTATGTTGAGAAAGATCATTCCAACTGCTTCATGTTGCATCATTTGCTTCAAATTTGTAGAAACTTAGATGACAAAGAATGGCACCAATGTCGCACCAATAGCAACAGTAATTTCGCTTCCGTCTTCAAATGAAAAATCACACCAAGTGGAAAGAGTTAAAAGATCAATAGATGAAATCAGACCATTGTAAACCCCAATGCTTAACATTAATATGAATGTCTCTACGTCATCAACATGAGCTTGGAAACTCCAGTAACTGACAACGGGAGTTGTAGCACGATAAACAGTGTCATCATAGGGACTGGCACAATGTGATAAAGCACTGCCAGGCAACTGACAGTGGGTTGTAATTGTTGGAATTTTACACACCAATCGACACTCTTTAGATGATTTTAATAAATTTAGAAGGTGGACTGCTTCAAGCATGCCTGTTTGGGCCAAGCTAGGCTGAGAGGGATACAACGTCCGACATAAAGGTGATCCCAGAGTGGCTCTGTAGGTCTGACCTGTAGCTCGTCAAGCATGGGCTGTCTGCACGTCAGCACAGCCGCACTGTGTATTAGCTTCTGTGTCTGAGCGCCTGTCAGCACAGCCGCATTAGGATTATAATTTAAGGACTTTTCTAAAGACCTGTGGGAATCCTGTGTGAGAGTTGTACGTATTCTCTCCTGTCTCCTCACTCGTTTGGTATGTTTTCCTTCTTTCATAATTCCAATCCTCTCATACGTTACGATATTCTTTCATCTTTACCTAGCCCTTGCTTCGACTTTGAGATCTGTCTACAGACATTGCACATCAAATATTTAGATAGATCAGGGTCTAGATCTCGATATATTCTAAGGTGAATGTTCTTAAAATTAAGATCTAGATCAGAAGTAAATTATTATTATCTATATATCTAGGCCGTTCTAGGGACATCCCTCTGTGTCTCAACTCCTGAACTATCAATCTAGATCGAGATTCTAGCCTACAAGCACACAGGCCTACGAATGTAGATCTGAACATACAGTCGAAACTAGGTCAACCTCTCGATTCAAAATTAATGTAGGATAAAGTGCATTTCTAAGGATTTTGTGGTCAAGTGTTGATGCTAGCATCAATATAATATATCTAATACATGTAGTAAAGAACCTAATAAAACTTACTTCTTGCTGATTTTGATGACATATGAAGAATTTAAGTCGAAAATAAACACAAATCGAGGCTGCGTGCTAGACATGTCAGACGTGTTTTACAACACGACACTGTTGAATAGCACAGCTGACTACAGACAGACCACACATCGACGCTGCTCAAGTACACGATAATGTATACGTTCATTTGCACGGTGCGAGCTAGGCACGCTACTGGTCAGACCTACAGAGCCACTCTGGCACCGGCCTAAGACGCAGATAAAACATTTGCCTTTTGTGAATGTTTTGAATTTGTGATTTTAGGGTTACCCAGTGTCATGTGTTCCAATGCAATAGCAGTAATAGCACCCCTCTTAACATTTTGCAAGTGACTTGATTTTGCGAATCTCTTTCAAGAGTGCAAAAATCGTGAATTCAAATTGCACATGGAAAAAACCCGGAATGCAGTTGGTCTACTTAGAGCTCCATACTGACATGGACATGGATCGCAGTTCCATCTCTCGAATCACTTGCTTGTGGGGGGTAATGGAAACGATCAAATATGCACAGAAATATATCTGCATCATCATTACCTTCAGCGAAATAACTCGCTATACAAACTTAAACTGAACAGAAAAGTGAACAACCTTGGATACACATATTAAACCAATGGAACAGCAACAACAACACAAAAGAAGTTGATGTTGAAAACCAAACGGAAGGATAAAAACATCTATACAAGTAACAAAAACTTGTCATTTTTCCTTCACCGTGGTAGGCTATACTGTACATGGTCCCTAAAAAAACAATCCCAATAACTCAGAGATTTGGTGTCAACAAATGACTTATCACAGGGTTAGCACAAACTCTGTTTATGTGCATTTGTGTGGTGAATGTACGACTGTATTCTTCATTGTGACCAAGACAATAGGTCCATAGTCACTGCAGCTCTATTTCAACGATCAAAAACAAAAAAAGTCAATCAAACACCAAACTTAATTATACAGTAGGCCTGTTTTTATATCTTATACAGTGGAGTCCACGTAAACCAAAATAAGGGCAGGGGGGGAGGGAGAATCCTTCGAATTTCTTCATTTAAGCTAGGTTTTCCATTTAGAGAGGTCGTTCATTTATATAGGGTTGACTGTTGACAGTATAGGGTTGAGAATGCCACGCTTGAACTTGATGCAAAAGTTTTTTCTCATCTGCCTCTTTCAGTTACTGCAATTTGAGCTGCAGGCTGTGCGCATTGTGCTTTCTCTTTGATACTGCCAGCTTGCTTAATCTGCGAAAACAGTCGCACAGAACTCACGAAAGAGTAGAAAGAAAGAAGTGAGAAAGAAAGCCCAATGCCAGTGACATCATGACACTGACCAAGTGTCCTCATATAATCATGTGCAGTGCCTATGTCAACTTGCTTCACAGAGACAAAAATCCATGACCAACATAAGGTGCTGGGACAGGTTCAAATTTGCTATCATGTTTATATGCAGGTTGACCTATTGATCATGTGTGTGATACACATAGGCAAACGGTACATAGGCGATGCCCCCCTCTGGTCCGCAATTGACACACATGCTTTCTTGTGTCTCCTTCATCTGTTTCATTGTCTTGAAGCACATAAGTCTAGACGATTTGATTTACCGGTACTTGAGAGTTGTTAGTGGAAATACAGATGACATAACCTTCAAAATTCTTTTCAGTTTAGGAATGGGAGCATTTCAGCTAATCCATAGTTTTTCTTTCATAGGAAAAGAAGCAAAATCTGGGATTATTATATTCTTTCGATTTACCACTGTTTCAGATAACAGGGGTTGGTTTAAATGGATTCCACTATTCTTTCAGTCAATCCTGCTTTAATGGCCATCTGTACATGATGGCCACTTCCCACTCCCCCTACCCTTGTCTTTCTTCGATTTCATAAAGACTCAGTTCTAGTCATCCGCCTACTATCTAAGACAACCACTTTTCACATGGACAATGGGTGGCCATCTTAGACAATTTCAACACATCATGTAGATCTACCAGGAAAGAAAGTTTGTCAACAGCTACATTATGTACTGAAACTTCTTGTGTGTTTTATTTTACTATGAGAGGTCACAGGAGCTTCACAGAATCCAACGTGGCAACCAAATTATTTTGAGTAACATCCACAGACATGAAGATCCATAACTGTTGCCAATAAAACAATTTCTTTTCTGACTTTTCTTTTTTTAAACTTTTGACAGATTTTGATTCCTTGCGGTCAGCAAAGGACTTTAACATTCAAAACAAAAAATTCAGGAATACCGGTGCTAAATTAAAAAATTATGAGATAATAATGAATTAAATAAATATTTTAACCAAAGGAAAAAAAAATACTTGGTTCTTTCTTTCCTCACTGGCAGCACATCCATAGGCTGAATTCATGATGATGCCAGCTCAAGCAATCTCTCCTGTTACAATAAACCATTACAACATTTTCTACACCTGTTGACCCTAACCCTGCCTACAGCTACTGAACTTAACCCTTACTCTTGACCTATTGAACTTAACAACAATCTTACCAAAGAGGGTTTTTAGATCTTTTCTTCAAAAACTGTCAATAAATTATATTTATGACATATGTAATGACGTATATATATATATATATATATACACTTATCAAAATACAAACACTTTAAAGATCACATTGTGGGATCATACTGTAACATCATAATGTATCTATCCCAAGTGTCCACACTCTCTCTTTCCAAGTATTCAGAAATCTAGAAACAGGTGATATGTGTGTAGACTGTAGAGTATGAGAAGAGAGAGTCTGTGAGTGTAGAGAATCCAACATTGTCATGGCTGTACACAAATCTTTCTCCCCAGAGACGTGAGGCACTTTTTGTGACATTGCTCTGAAAACGGATCATACACCCAGGACCGAGATCTTCCATTTAGAGAAACAGATCTTGGTGGGGGGAAAAGCAGAGACTCAAACATACTCTAACAACATACATAATGAACACAAATACTACAAATGCCATTCCTTTATACACACTGTTAAAACAAATTTATAGACCTGTTTTGGGTGGGGGAGAGAAAGCCTTTCTGAATTCAAACTTGTACAGAGTGGACTATGTGTCTTTGAAATCTCTCCGACAAGTTTCCTTACAAAAATGAGGCTCACATTGGAGAGAGGACCTTCACAAAACAACAAATCATTCTGACAAAATATCTAGGCTGACTCCAGCTGATACCTTCCAAATATGTAATTTTATGACAACACAATAACATACTTTTCAGTTGTTATGACTATACTAGCAAATGCCATGGTGAACAAAAAAATCTAAAAGCTGAGACATAAGTCCCTAACTGGCCAGAAAGTTGAGAAAGGATAAACATTTAACAAATTGGTGAGGTTAATCAATTGAAGACCTTTTTCATGCGAAAAAAATATTGAAATTTTTATAATCTGTATTCCCAACCTGGTAAATAGATTCAAAGGCAAATAATCTGAGCACATAAAAAAAAGTGAATGCCTTTGTTGTACCAGAAATAACCAATGCAAACAGCAGGTGTTCAATACGATTCACAGCCCAGGAGATACAGCAGTCTCCAAAATTGTCTTTGGAAATTTTGAACAAAATCTTCAAAAACCTTAATTTCCATTTAAAATCAAAGACAAAAAACTTTTCAGTTCAAATAAGTATGCACCTTGTGAGTGAAAATTACAGCACACACGCACACTAGGAAAAACAATTATGTGCAAACGAATTTTTTAAAAACAATTTCTTCTTTAAAAGCACTGAAAAGTGGTAAAGTATGGCAAGCCGATGTCATTATTTCAAAGTACATTTTTCCAGAATTAGAAACAATTAAGTTAAAGATCACAATTTAATAGGTGTGGGCCTACCTCACATTTAATAAAAATACACATTTTTTCTCATATGACAGCAAAATTCATGGACACAACATAACATACTTCATGGACATAAGACAACATAATTCATGGACATACAATAGCACGACTGATGAACACACTAGGACAATGACAACATTCACATATCAAAGTGAACTTCAACAAGAGAATAAAAACTGACAACACCACCACTCAGTAGTCATTTATATTTTCATACAAAATGGAAGTATGAAAATGATCTCAATCAGAAGATCATTTGGACTAGAATTTCCTTTTCCCATAGTCAAACACGACTTTTACCACTTGAGTATTAAAACTTTGCATCCTTTCACAGAACTTCTCTTTTAAAAAAAAAATTAAAGAAGGATAAAAATTTACAAAAGCATCCAAATTCTCTTTGTATTTCAGCTTCAGTTGAGCTTAGAACAAATGCCAATGTGACACACCAGTGGGTTTTAAAAAACAATAACTTTTTTTCTTTAAAACTATGGCTAGATGTTAGACTCAAAAGAAACTAAATAAGAATCAAAAAGTTCTTCTTGTAAAACCATTCATCTACAAATAGTTACACTCTTACTTACTCTTTAAAGATTAGTCAACTGAAAGGTTTATTAAAAAATCCACAAATGATCATAGATTGGTCATTAAAAGACCCTTTTCCCTCATAGTTAAAACACATGATGAAAATGGCGCTCCGCTGAATCGACACATTAACTCCTTGTGGAGCAGCCTTACTCCCCACAAACGATTTGGTCAGGCTCCTCAAGCATCTTCTGCTGACTGTAGTCTCTCGTGCTCCGGGCTGGCCGGTGGTTTTTCATCTACAGGAACGCTGACGGTCAGATCCTGGTATACACCGGCATTCCGAGCAGAGGACATCTGGATTTGCATCTTCTTCTCCTTGTCCATCATTCTGGACCTGAGGAAAGTCAAGACATGTATATTATTATTAAGAACAGAACGATTTTTCTTTGTTTTAGCTTTAGTAAGAGTTTTACGGTACTTGTAACACGGATAGGTCATATAAGTGTCAAAGATTAGAAGTTTTACTAGAGCTTTAGTTATAGTAAGAGTTTTACAACATTTGCAACTGTCATGTAAAGAAAAAAAGGGGAGAGATAAAGGATGATACATATTTGAAAGGTAGGAAAAAGCAAACCATACAAGAGCACCTGTGAACCACTCACATCAGGATGATGTTCCCCTCCCTTTTGCCATCCCATGTCTGACCTTAAGTGGAGAGCACCGACACAATAACTGTCATTTGGAACAGGGTAAACACAAGCAGAGGTAACAGATGCATAATGAAAATAAAGGAATTTTAATTGAAGATTCAGTGAAAGATTAAGAGTGTATCCTTCCTCCTGAGTTGATAAATCTAATCCTTGACACAAATTTGTCACTTCAAAGCATGGATTTTTAAAATTAACCAAACTAGACCCTGTGTCAACAAGCATGAAGAAGAAAAATGCTGGCCCACTATTAGCGAGGTGATGGCATTGTTTTATTACCAGTGTCAAAAGTATGCAAACAAGCTAACACACACTTTTCAAATTTCAGACCTTTCCCTTTCAAAATTTCCCTCGCCACTAACGAACAATATTATCATAGTACAGCGTCTCAAAAACCAGAGATTAACAAACAATATACACACAGTACAAAGTGACAGATACCAGGAACATAAACTTACAGTACATGGTGTGCTTACTGAACTTAATCTAACTGTACCCAATACACGTTAATATAACTTAACTTTACTGTAGGCTACTATGCCTGAAACACTTTTACCCTCTTAAGGAGAATATGCTCAGAGCCAGTTTTCAGTTTCAGTAGTTTTTATGCACTGCTTTTTCATCTTTTTGATGTTCCCAGTAACATAGTGATAATAGGATTTTTGTCAATTCCATAATCAATTTTGGATTCTGTAACCTATTAAAAGGTGCAATATTATAACCTACAAAGAACACTCTGGAACAAAATGTTCTTACCCAAGAAAGTGCAAATTTATTATACAGCCTGATCTGTGTCATGACAAGACGGATTTTTGCTATTTATCATAAGACTTCCAAAAGGACAGGATTTCCACATCTATAGTTTTACAGAACAAAAGCAATAAATTTTGTCTATTGTCTTTTTTTCTCAAAGTTTTTAAAATTTTTCAAGCTATAAGCCTCTGTCTATCCGGAGGCATTTATGCAAATATTACGTGCAAAAAAATTCCATAGGTGTGGCGTAGGGTTCAAACTTTTCAAGATGCAGTGTTCTTCATATAGCATGCCATGGAGAAAACTCAATTTTGAGAACAGCGGAAAAAAAAGTTCCATGCACAAATTTAGCTTTTGCCATTTATAATGTTCCTTCATGTTTTGGTCCAGGGTTTCCAACCACACTTTTAGATATGAATGGCTTGCAGGTCAATGAATGGAGGAGACCACAATCATTCTAACAACACCACATATGAATCTGTCCCCACCGTTTTATGCATCCCGCATAATTTAGTAAAATTTGATTATTTTTTTGCATAATTTCTTATCATTTTCCTTTATCATTCTATGTTAAAATTAACAGAATCGCATAATTTCAAAATTTTTCTTGCATAAAACGACGGGGACAGATGAGTACTCTCGCTCTACACGAGAACTTGCTGTAAAGGCTCAAATTTTACTCATTTTCTGAATGCTTACAAAAGTTTTAAAAAACCACTGCATACCTTTGGATAATTTTTCTAGTCTTATAATCACTTTCAGGCAAAACAAATATTGAAAATGGATTCCTCATACAATATCTCATCAGAATTGATCCCCCCAAAAAATTTATGATATATTTTATCACTAGACCAGTAGGCCTGTATAGTATTTCATTTGGTGTCTTTCCCCAAGATTGTCATCATAAACTCACTGTCCCTGATAAATGTTCATGATACAATTTGATCTTATTGTACCTGATACTCTTTCATAGAAAACTTTAACTTACTGTTTCTGAAGCACTTAGACAACTTATACTTACTGCCTTCTCCTCTTGATTACAAACACAATCACGACAACAATGATGCAGGCCAGAACAGCAATTACAGATGCAGCCACTACACCAGCTGAAAAGAGGAAATTAACGGTTCAATGAATCACGGAATTTTCTCTCAGGAATAATACAGCACTATTTTGATCAAACAATGTTAGGTTGTTGTTGTTGTTGTTGTTATCGATCCAGCAACAGCTGGGCTCTCGCCCTTCTGTCAAATGCCATGTAGTGATAAGTGCAGGTTTGCTGCAGTTGCTGTAATGTTCCATAGAGTGTGTTGTCAATGTTAGGTCTCGGAGGGAGAAGGGTAGCTCTGATGTCATTTAGGGCTGTACAGTGGAACAGGTGATGATCCACAGTCTCATATGCATAGTCACACAAGGGACACATTGGGGGAAGTTCCGGGTTTATTCTGTTCCGGTGGAAGTTGAGCTGTATATGTTCTGTTCGTAGGCGGAAGATCGTGGTCTGTTTCTTTCTCTGAAGGCGGTTGATATTGTCATTCCTTTTTGTTGTGGTCTTGTGTTTGAAAACTGCTCTGCCTGTCTTTCCCAGGGCCCATCTGTTCATCCAATCTTGTTTGTTGTTGCTTTTGATGATTTGTTTTGCAGTGTTGTATGAAGTTGGAATGTTGGGTTGTTCCTGTCTAGATCCCCGTTTGGCAAGTGTGTCTGCTCTGTCATTTCCAGGTATGTCTGAGTGTCATTACTAGGTTGATGCCACAGAATGTTATCAGATGATGGGATCCAAACAGTATATGGGTCAAATCTTGGTTTAGGTGATGGTCATTTTCTATGGCTTGTAATACTGATAGTGAGTCAGAGAAAATCACAATACTCTGTGCTTTTCCAGGATGAGTGTCAAAAACTGTGCGGAGATGGTACAGTGCTGTTTCAATTGCCATCATTTCTGCATCGTAGTTGCTGCATTTCTCTCCACAGGCTGCAGAGATCTCATTGGAACTTCCATCTGGGTACTGTATGTGCCTTTGAATGCTGAGCCGTCCGTATAGACGTGTATCCAGTCATCTGAATAGCTGTCGATTGTTTGATGTGATGCAAGCATCAGCGTCACTGGGTCTGAAGATTTTGTGCTCTTGTCTTTGAGAGATGTTGTAATGATTGGCTTTTTTAAAGAAAGGTGGGGTGGGATGTTTTGGTTGACTCTTTTGGTTTCTTTTCTATTTTGTGGTAGATGGTGGCTCTCCATTAGTTCTGTGATGTGATGCATGATTGACTTTTGTTGAATTCGTTTCTTTGGTTTCCATGTTTCTACTAATTTCCTGTTTGGGTGGTTGGGGCACATTCTTTTAGTTCTTTCATGTAGCTCCAAAACTGCTTTATCTCTGCGGATTCCCAGGGGTTCAACATTTGCAAGGATTTCGCATGCGGCGGTAGGTGTGGATCTCATGCCGCCATTTATAAAACGAAGGGCATTGTTTTGGACCTTGTCAAGGGTGTTGCAAGTAGTTGTACTGCACATAGTGAGTAGGCTATTGCTGTATTCCAGGGAAGATCGGACATAACCCAGGTATAGAGCTCTCAGAGTTTGTTTGTCTGATCCCCATGAACTGCTTGCGAGTTTCTTTAAAAGTTGGAGTCTTTTTTTTTGCCTTGTTCCTTATGTTCTCCACTTGGCTTTTCATGGTTAGCCTATGGTCAAGTTTGACTCCTAGGTAAGTTGGATCATGTTCTTCTTTGGGGAGACTTTCATTTCCTATCTTTAGTTTGAGATTTTCTTTGGCTGCTTTATGGCTCTTCGTGAAGATGGTGTATACTGTTTTCGTGCAGTTTATTTTAAGTTTCCATTTCTGACAGTAATTATGGAGCCTCTTGAGGTCTTCATCTAATTTCCCTGCTCCTACTATCGTGCTGTGATGTGTCTGCCAGAGAGCAAGATCATCGGCATAAAGAGTCTTTTCTGATTTCAGCACGTTCGTTACATCATTAAAGAAGATCAGGAACAAAGTGCAACTCAGACAGGAACCTTGAGGTAGGCCTTCCTCGAGTACTTCTCTAGACGAGTGGGCATTGTTTACCTTGGTTTCAATGTTTCGATCCGACAGGAAGAACTTGATCCATTTGTAAAGTTTGCCATGTATCCCGAGGTCCATCAATTTCATGAGTAGGCTTTTTCTCCACACTCTGTCGTACGCCTGTTGGAGATCTACAAAGATGGCGACAGTGTGTTTACTCTCCTGAAATCCATCCTGGATGTTTTGACTCAGTTTAAAAAGTTGATCTTCTGTGTAACAATGTTAGGAAAAAACCCTTCAAATTATTAGACAAAATAAACAGATTGAGAGGGAAAAAAGTCAGCTTTATTCAAATAACAACAACATATTAATAACAATTAATTTATGTACTCTGATGATGCAGCAGACATATCAAAATGATATTGAAGGGGTTAAAAACACATCCGGTGCTTTCAATAAAAATCCCATTTCTGAGACCTCACAAATGGACAATCTCTACTCTCATCTTCCTACACATGACTAGAGAACCGATAGGAGAATATTTGCTCCGAGTGAAACAAATAAATTCTATAATAACTTGACATGTCCTTTTGACCCTCAAAGAAACTCCCAAGAACAAACAAAAGGTTCTTTGAAAGGAGTGTTCTTAAGGTGAATGCTGCATTGTGCTAAAGGCTCATTTTATTTTATTTAAGTAGAGGTTTAACTGCACTAGCAACTGCATAAGGTCATATGAGCGTCAAGAGGTGGATGTTAACAGAAAAGTCATTACAGTAGAGTTGGGTCAGACTCGCTAGATCAGCGTCCGCGAGTAACGAACTATTCGCTGGCACTACCCGCAAACGAGCAGACGGGTAACGAACCGTCCGCTTGCGAAGAGTAGTTTGCTACTTGCTACACATCGAACAGAGACAACAGTTCGTTTAGCGAGCGGGCGGGCGGGGAGCGAGTCCTTCTATTGTATACTAGTTACATCCTCCCTCCCCTCCCCCCCCCCGAAAATCACTTTCACTGAATTAGTCCATAGCAAAGCTGAGAACTAAGATAGCAGTTGGAGGTTGTTGAATGAAGCACAAAAACTCAACTTAAACTGGATTTAGCCAGGGCAAAGCTGAGAATTGAGACAGCCCAAAAACTCAACTTTATCTGAATTAGTTATAGCAAAACTGAGAACAAAGACAGCAGTGGGAAACTGTTGACGAGAGTTTCATGAAGGTGAAAAAAGCACACCTGACTAATTTTAAGGTAAATAAAGAATAAGAGATCTCGTCAGCCCAGACGATGGCTGTAGTGTAAGGCAAGCTTGTAAAAATCTGAAACGCTAGAAAAAGCTAAATAAAGGTTCAGTTCTTGTTATGACTTTTTAAAAAATAAAGAAAACAACATCATTGAAAGACAGCACGGAGTGCCTGGGATACAGGTGTAGTGAGGGGGGGGACCGCATTACAGTCAAAATTGCCCATGATGGCCACCCATTATAGAGGAGAAAAGTGGTTATCATAGACAGGTGGATGAATTGGACATTGTCATTACAATATATCTGTCACAACGCAGTGGAATCAGGCGCTTGTCAATTTTTGTGCATATGGAGTTATTGTTATCATCTGAAAGCTGATTTATTTGGCTTTCTTTAGACAGTGAAATAAATATCCATCTATCTTGAATAGAATTCAAGACTTTTTTGTGTGTTTTTGGTAAGTGTTTTACAGCGTTCGCAACTGCAGTCATGCGCGTGGGACACATTTAAACATTTTCAGTTGGTAGGAAATGTTTGAATTTTGCCCGGGTGGCGGCCGAAGCCTAACCTGATTTTACCTCGCTGCCTCACATATAGAAAAAAAGCAGGTTCAACTTTATATGACATTTTATCTCACCATATGTAAAGATTATAATACAAAAAGTGACAATAAATCATCTCTGTGACGAAGGAGAATTACTAACCTGTGTTGGCAGTACTTTTGTCATCTCCCATGTCTCCGGTTGTAGTGTTTACCGTAGTCGTTGATAAGCTCAGATCTTCTGTAACTAAAGACCAAAAAATAGAAGAAAAAAAATTCTGAGAAACAAAGAAGGGAAAAATAAAAATTAACAATAGCACAACATATATGCTCAAGACAACCAACCCTTATTTTTACATATAGCACAGATCAGTTTCTTTTTGCATTTTTTACACCTGGAGACTTCAACAATACAATTTTTGAGTTTTCCTCAGCATGTCTACCAGTCCAAAGAATAACATGTTGACATCAGTTGCAATTTTCATGCCCCTTGTTTTGTGCTGAAAAATATAAAATACATATCTATACAATATTATGAACAACAGAAACCTGCCCCCTATGTGTACTTTTCATTCAGACTGTAAAGGGAGTAAACGTTCCATTGTTTCAGGTGATCAGTGGACTGACATCCTATGGAAGTACTTTAACTTTAAGGCCGTTCAAGAGACCAAGCAGTCTGCACCGCAGCTAAATGTCAGTGTATATTTGAGAAGGCAAGGGAATGACTGAAACTAGCGTTGCCAAGGATATTCACAGGCAAAAGAATTGCTCAGCTCACTCCTTAATTTAAAAAACCCAGTGCACGCACACAGCTATTGCTTGTCAGTTGGTACCTGCCAGATTTTAGTTCATAAAGGGGCAAAGCTAAAAGTACCATTTTTGGCATAAAACATTATTCCAAGACAAATCGACTCACTGCCTTTTGAAAAACAACCAGGCTTGATTTTGAAGGTCACTGTCAAATTTCAGTGAATTGTGCCCCAATGGCAATTTTTGGCTTGTACATCAGGAAAAATATTGCTCGTCCTGACTGATTCAATCGGCAGCGTGCACTTGTTGTGTATCAAAGTACTGTTTGCACCAGACACCTTGAAGAATATTCATCTCCGTTCGCATCCTTCCTTTAATATTTTCAATTATTTAAATTACTGAAGCGATTATTCACACCAGGTGTGCAAATAATTTATGATTTTATTCCCACCGGGTGTACGAATAATTTATAATTTTATTCGAACAAGGTGTGTGAATAAGAAATAAAAATTCTGTTCGCACAGTGTAGTTTAGGCTACTAAAACTGCACGAGATTGGCAAATGGCGCAAGACTACGCCTACCACCGTGTCATTTTCAACCCCCCCAAAATAACTTACCCAACTTTAGATCTAGTGCATGCATCGCAAACCATTCAACATCAATTCAGCATAGAAGCTGGAGCCAAATATTAAGAGTTATTTAGAGTTCACAGAGGCCTTGAACGAGTACGAAAGAACAATTTAACAAATTGTACCAAATTTGTGGTGACACAATCTATCAAAATTGGCCAAACTGACCCCTTAAGAGCAATTTTTGTCTACCAGTCGATATGACTCCAATGCAAGCAGGGGCAGCGCCTGCATGAAAGTTCATCCAGAGGGGAAAAACCAGTGCAAAATATTATGGCTGGCTCTATTTCTCGGCACGTTCGGGAAAATAAACTTGAACTCTATTTCTCCGAACGTTTGGGAAAATAAACTTGAACTCCATTTTTCCAAACGGTTTACGTTCTCGAGATTTGTTGATAATAAGCAAATGGAGAGGACTGTGTGTGTGTGTGTGTGTGTGTGTGTACACGCGCGCGAGTGTGTTGTAGTCTTAATAGTGGTGTGTGTGTGAGTGTTACATGTGTGTGTGAGTGTGGGGGGGTTGTGTGTGTATGTGTGTGTGTGTGAGAGTGCGTGTGTATGTGTGTGCTTGTGTGTGTAAGTTGTGAACGGGTTGGGGGGGGGGGGGGGGGGGGCGTGGAGGGATTCTTTTTTTTGCCTGAAGGATTTTAGTTTTTGCTGGGTGACTAAATGCAAAATAGGTTACTGCCAAGGTCGAGCAGTCTTGTTTTCTCGCAGTACCTTTCGAAGGTATTTTCAAATGAAGTATCGTCCGGGAACGTTGCCCAAACCACAACTGAAGTATCTGAACATTCAGACATTTAAAAATCTCTAAATCTAGAGCTAGCTCTAGAAATTGAATTTGATGCAAAAAATGCTTCTTCCCAGTTCTCGTAGAATGGCAGAATGAAAGGACGACGCCTAAATCTCGCAAATAACCCCAAAAATCTCGAGATCGGAAACCGTTCGGAGAAATAGAGTTCAACTTTTTTCCCCGAACGTTCGGAGAAATAGTCACTTTGAAAAATTATTACAAAGGATACAAACTAGACTAGATCTAATCTAATGTTTTAGTAGATTCTATTTTTACTTTCATCGGAGTATCTAGATCTGGGCCGGATCCCAGAAGAGAGTTGTTATCAAAACATGCTGAATTTAACCGTGGCTATGTGAAAGCTCACCTGTCTCAGTTGCAGACAAACCACTCATCAAGAGACTGATGGAAAAGCATATTTTGAAGGCCAGATTCACGCTACAATACACTGCATTTGCAGCCGGATCCATTATTGTTGGTAGCTTATTCATCATGAACTTGCTTCTTGCTATAATTCTTTCAAGAGTAAATGCTGAAGACCAAAGATGATAGCTACTGGCTTCCTCAGGCAGATATCTAGTTTCACGTCTCCGGCTAATCCTACTACTAGATCTAGTCAATGAAACTTGATGAAATAAATTTAAGTCTGAACTGTGAAATGCTTGATCCACACCTAGGTATGAGTTAGATTTTTTGTCTAGAGTCCTGAGACAAGTCTAACAAGTCAATTTATAACTTTAACTCTTCGGCACAGGTAGAAGAAATGGTCGAAGTTTAGTTAGTCACAATGTCCACTACAAATCTAGATTCTAGTTTCTAGAAGAAGTGCCACTCCTCGTCCTATTTCAACTTCGATCTACTGGCCTATTATTGCAGCGTAGCCCCTAGAAAGCACTTCTACTTGAGACATCTAGATCTAGAGGTTAACTGGTTCTTGATTTCGAGTCTTGACTGATGGATAAAGAGATCTAAAGAGCAACACACTTTCAGAAAATAATGTAAACAAATAATTCTCTGGTGAGTCAGTCACTCCGCCTTGGCTTGGCCTTCTCACACTCTCAGTCTCAGCTTGCCTCGGACGACTCAATCTTTCTCTTGTTTCAACACACAAAACAAAGACAATTTCAATTTCTTGGTCTCTGCCTCATATCCAAGAGTGAATAGCTGTCGCTTCAATTGGAAAAAAAACTGCGAAAAAATTATTGATCAGATCATTTCCGTGTTTCTTTGTAAAAATGTAGAGTTCCCTTTGTTGTCCGACTTTCTATGTGCGGAATTCCCAATAATGATTTCACTTCCGGTGCTGAGTACTTTATCTGTTTCGGTATCTTGTTAGTCTTGCTAATAATTTTCTTGTGTTCACTCTTGCGTACTCGTTCGTGTGTATATTTTAAAAAGACAGTTTCTGTTTACGTTCGATTTCTAAATACCCCTTGATTTTTTAAATTTCTGAATAAGCCTACAGGAAGTAAGCAACACATCTGGCCATCAATTTTTACCGCTGCTGCTTTTGCTGTTAACGCCCCCCTCCCCCCTTTTGTTTCCCCATCATTTCACCTTACAGCATTAACTCTGTTGCAAGGGATTAGGGATTTCTGATTAGACGACCACAATTCCTACATTTACATACATATAACGTGCATCTGCTCCAACCAAACCCTATCCTCCACACACTGCCTCCAAGTCCACCCATCAGATCAAGCCAACTTTGCCACATCATGGACACGAGCCTTGTTTATTCCCTTGGAGTAACTATAAATAGTTACTCTAAGTTTATCCCCCGCCCCCTCGCGCTTTTTCATTTTAAAGACCAAGAACCTTTGAATTATATTTATTTATCCCTCTTGATA